ACTTGGCGCGGCAGTGCGGCTTACACATCCTTTGCAGAAGACGTGTATCCAAACCTCTGTCATTGTCCTTAGTGGTGAGACAAGTTGTTTTACATGCTGGTTTGTGAGTGTGCCATGATGCCTTTCTACTGTTCTACTGTTCAAAGCCCATTTCGTGTGCACCTTACTGTATAACTGGTAACAAATTGTTGAGTGCGTTTGTCGTTTGTTTTGCCACACAGGAAGAAGGTTCCCCCCATCCCAGCATATATGCCTTGCAGGTGTGGGCAGTAAATACCAGCAGGGGGTCGGGCTTACCCCAGGAGATTACAGTCCTGCCAGATCTTCATTCCTCATTGTCCAGCCCCAGGAACCCTTTGATGGCCCTCATTTGCATATCAGCCACCTGCTGATTCCATTCAAGATATCAAGGAACTTTTGCATCAAAGCTGTATCATAGATGTCAATGTTATCGGTTCCAACAGCTGCTAAGATAGACTATCTGCTTGCAGAGGTGAGGAAAAGAAAGTTGGAGAGAAAAGAAAAGAAAAACTGTCAACAGGTTGTTGTTTTTTTTTCTTCTTCAAAGTACAAGTAAGGGGTTGGGGGCAAATTAACATGAGCTGAGTCTAAGGTTAGAAAGACATGAAGTAGGTATCTAAAGAAAGCTATCACCTAAAAGATCAGAGAAGAGGAGATTTAGATAATAAACAGAATAGTACATACAATATAATGACATTAAGAATAGTGGACTTGTAGAAGTAAAGTTTGAAAGCTTGATGTTCATCTTAAGTTTTCCATTCACCTTGAATCCGAATTGTTGAAGTGTATAGTTGAGAAGGCTCCAGGGATGTTGGAGGGTGGGAGCGATGATCTGCAGAGTGTGCAGCTGAGATGCTGGGCTGCTAAGACTATTTTGAATCTGCTTCTCTTTAAATCCCGAATGATATCTGAAGCAGGTGTCCACACAGGTTCTCTTTTATTGTTTGCCTCCTAAAAGTATTAGAGACCTTCCCCACTTCCATGGCCTCTGCCGCCTCACCTACCCAGGTTTTAGATTGCTCTTTCCCAGATGGGAGCCGGTGTCTTCCCTGAAAAAAATGCACCTTCCTATACCCATAACTAACAGATGAATTGATCATGAAACTTTCCACTGGTTTTTCCACATCCACAAAGGAGACAGAGGGGTATCGTTGGCGGGACACCAGTGGCAGCAAAGACTGCACTTGCGGTAGGTGCCATCTGAGTGGAACTCTTGGGGCTTTAGTGGGCATTCGGTGCCACCGGTCAGCTGGAGGTTCGCAACCCAGAAGCAAGTTAAAATATTTTCTCTCCATTAATGGTCTGTCCATGTGTTTAGGACACCCGATGATCAGCTGCCAGATCTGATGCTCTGTCCAGCACCACACTTCACACTACCCAACAGCAGTGACTGGGCCCATCTTGCTGGCTTACTTCACACGTCTTGGCACAGTCATTGGTCTGCAGCGAGGGCTAGGAGGATCCAAAGTGTGCCCCCCCCCCACATGTAGCAATAACCACCGAAGAAGTTGCTGGAAATATTGGGAATCGTGTTTACTATAACCACAATCATGAATGGACAGGAAGTGATGTGATGTAGATCACTTCCCATTCATTCATAATTGAGGATATAGTAACCATACTCTGTCCTCGATTATCTACAAACACTCAGCGATCCCTGACTGCTTGTACCGCTCTCCTTCCTGACACGCTGTCAAAGGAGACTGAGCGAGCGGTGCCGGGAGGAGAGCTCAGCCTCCTGTGACAGCGCTGGCTGTCTCCGCCCCCACACCGCTCTGCCGGACTGTAATAGGCGGCTGAGCGGTGTGGGAGGAGACGCCAGCCGCTCACAGGTCGCAGCGCTCGGCAGCCTGTCACAGTTTATCTCCTCCCCGCTGGGACACAGAGCAGCGCCCGGCGAGGAGTAGAGAAAGAACGGATGCGCTGATGTATCGGCAGAAAAAAGCCACTTCCGGCATTATGCCAAAAGTGCAATTTTCGGCCGATATGTTTCGGCGGCCGATATATCGGTGCATCCCTAGTACCAGCAATAAAACAGTGCTTAATACACAGGTATATCCATTTGTACGGCATGCACACTGCAACTAATTACAAGCTAACAGACCTAACTAACCTCTGGCCAGTGTTAAAACTACCACAGAGTTTGCCAGTGGTGGGGCCTTCAAACTCAATGGGGGGAGCACTCAACCTTCAAGTGAAGGTATTTGTATTCCACAAATGGTAAGTGTGTCTTCGCAGAGTGTCCTAATCCAGATATTACCAGCAGGTCGGTGATGTCCCCTTTAAATCAGCGTTCAGTACACAGGAGTCAAAGAGCCATTCACCATTCTGATGTCTGCCGGCGGAGCACCCGAGTCCTGTCCTCTCTCTGAAATCTGAGCTGCTGGTAGCCAAGTCTCCTCTTCTTCATTCTCTTAGTTTGCTTTCTATGTGAATTCTCCAAACTTTACCATAACCCGAGTTTCAGGTACGACAAATTAATGGTAGACACCGAACATAAAACTCTCACACAATTATGAAATGATATATAGAATATATACGTTTTATTCAAGGACATTACAGTGTTCTCACAGGAAGCTACTTGGTGATTAGTGCACAAGCAATCAATATATGCATTAAATCAGTGGTGCGCAACTTAAAATTTGCATCTTCAAGTTGGGTGGAGGGCCACAGCTAAATCAACCATTTTTTACAATCTTTATTTAAAAAGGCCCAGGAACAATAAGACAAATCCCCCGGGCGTAAGATGGTGACGGCCAAAAGGTATCATAATAAAACCTGGAAAAGACACACATGTAGCAGGGATAACCCCGTTCCGTAAGCTCCTCTCTCAGGGGCCCCTCCGCTCACCTGTGTACAGCGGATGTATCCCCCTCTAACACCAGCCTGTACAGAAGCAATGGGAAGCCATAGACATGGTCTTCCAGGGTTTCTAGGAAGTGAAGTTGCACTCAGTTTTTGGGGAGGTCTCTCTAATGCAGGGATCTCAAACTCAATTTAGTCGGGGGCCACTGGACAAATTTTTTAGTCCTGTGGGGGCCGCTACTATATACGGTACCAGTATGCACATGTTACAAGCGGCAACTGTCACCCATTCAAGTTAATGATCGGGTGAGAGCTGCTGCATGTACACGCCTGCACAACGCATGTAATCATATGTGATATGACTCCATGCAGTTAGGAATCAATCACTCTCCCTGGATATACAATTGTGTATCCAGAGATAGTGATTGTTTTTGTAACTGCATGTAATCATATCACATACGATTACATGCGGTGTGCAGGCGTGTACATGCAGCAGCTCTCACCCGATCATTAACTTGAATGGGTGACAGCGGCCGCTTGTAAACGCCAGATTAGGGATTCCTGCTGCAGGAAAACGCAAGCTTGTGACACCGGAATCCCTAATCGCACCTGAAATATATGGGACTCCCCCCACCATTCCAATCCCCTCACACATAATAATACACTCCCC